AGACAACGTCACGCTACGCAGAGAACTAGACTGGAAAGTTTTTCCTCCTCGATGATTAAGACATTGTAAGTAGTCACGGAGCACGCTGAGGCAGTGATATTTGTTTGTAATGTGACAAGTTTCAAATATCTGGGAGGCTCGTCTGAAAAATAATATCACAGCTTGCGTAACCCGATAAAAGGCTTTGACATGATGTCACTTACCAAGTGGCGAAGTGTAACAGCTTTTGTGTTTTTACATGAGCGAGGCTGATGTAGCACTTAAATGACTCTATGGGACAAAACGCTAAAAGAAAAACGGAACCGTTCTGAGACCCTGTAGAGCTCTATTTCTTCTATGCGTTAAACCAAATGATGCGTGATAATCTTCGGCGCGTATGCATCGACTTCCAAGCTGTTTCCCTGCCTAGTCACAAGGCTTAGTGCCTCGGCGCCACCTTGGCGCCCACTCTCCGGTCTCGGTATAGTCTGGAGATGTCCTCACGCACAGGGCTATCCTCTTTATGACCTGAAAGTATTGGTAAGATTTACTTTCGGCGACGTCTGTCACCGTACATCTGTCGCAGCCGAACAGCTGACGGTGTTTCCGGACTAAACTACTCGACGAACTGTTGTAATTAAGCGGCTTGTAGACGACTTCCGTCCCTTCATCACCGCGTCACGTCCTCAGGCATCCATCAGAATTGCCGATGACGGTCGGGAAGCTGAATGCTGGACAAATGAGCAGTCATTTTCTTCTTGTTTTGGTTGCAAGAAGCCGTTAAATGACGGCTGTATGACCCCCATTCCATGAAAATTTGGAACACAGCGGTGCCCGCAGCACGCTCATCAGACCCCACGACAGCGCCCGCGGCACGCTCACCAGACTTCAGCAGCGCCCACAGCACGCTCACCAGACCAAAAGCAGCTCCCCAGCACGCTCACCAGACCTCACGGCAGCTCCCGCAGCATGCTCACCAGACCTCACCGCAGCACATGCGACACGCTCACCAGACCTCAGCAGCGCCTGCAACATGCTCATCAGAAGTCAACGGCGCCCACAGCACGCTCACCAGACCCCACAGCAGCGCTCGCAGCACGCCCACCAGACCCCACAGCAGCGCTCGCGCGCGCTCACCAGACCTCGGCAGCACTCGCAGCACGCTTACCAGACCACACAGCAGCGCCCACAGCACGCTCGCCAGACCTCACAGCAGCGCTCACAGCACGTCCCACCAGACCCCAAAGCAGCGCTCGCAGCACGCCCACCAGACCTCACCCGCAACAAAGGCTGCAGCCCGTAGCTCAGATTGTCAGGTTGAGGTCGCAGACAGCTTTGTTTCCGGCACCTTCAACATCTGGCTCATACAGCATCTGGAAACTATAACTGTATGCCCTTCACATGCATTTGGGCGGTTTTTGTTTTGCCCCTTCCAGTTTGGTAGCTCTCTGACGCACTCATCGGGATCATGGACTCAAAGTTCACTATCGCAATTTGTTGTATTGCCACGTTTCCAGTGCTGCTTCAGGCGCCGGTCGAAATCGAATGTCAGGAAATCGTCACGCTCAGCGTTGTCCTGACATGAGCCTGACTGTCGATCAGGTGCCGTAAATAATCTGACGTGTTTCTGTTTACACTTATTACCGGGTGGGGTGTTACATGAATTATTCCCTATGGCGCATGCATAATGAAGTATTATCGTGTTATACTATATTATATTATATTGTTGTTATTATATATATGCATATATATATATATATATATATATATATATATATATATATATATATATTATCTGTACTGTGACAACGACGAAACGGAGCAACACCTTACCAGCGTTGCCATGCGTAGCGATAACTAAATGTTTTCCAGAGCTGTGCGTTTTCAATCAACCAGTCGTACTCATGTTCCCTTAGGTCCTCTTCTGTAACACCATGCGCATTACAGTGGCTTGGTGTGGTCTGTTTGAAGTCGCAGTTGCTTTCATGGCCAGAGATACGTTGAAGATAATTCTGGGAATAAGCGTGCATGCGACTGTCGTGTGAAAAAACGTTTTGGGCCCACCCTGGCGCGTATTAGCGGTTCTGGGCTAAACAAAACACATTTGGGCGGTGTTGGGCTTACACTGCCTCATCTGGGCGGATTGTCCAATCAATATATTCCGATGCCGTCTATTTTGTCATCTGCCATGGAAATTGGTA